GAGAATGACACAATGCCCCTAACAGTTACATAGTAACTAGTTTGGGGGAGCATTTAGGTAAAGAGATAAATAACTTTATAATGACCAAAATACCCCTCTCAACAACTAAAAAATGACTAGTTTTTAGGGTATTTTGGGCCATTGAATTATTTTCAATTCTTACAAATAGCCACATCCTCCACCATTCTCATCACACCAATTCAACAATTGTCTTCTCATACTCTCTTAATCTCTCATATATTCTCATACTTTCTCTTACTCTCAAATTCTTAACTTTATTGAAGTTTCAACAAGAAGGCTTACTCAAGTATCTCAAGTTAGCAACTTGGGAGACTTGGACTTGGAGGCTTCAACCGTTGAAATCAAATTGAGATTCTAAATCAACAATCCAGGTAAGTGCAATTAAATTAGTTTTTATATTTTAGAATTTGAAAAGTGGCTGGCTCTTGCCAAAACTAATTCCCCAACATCAACATGTTCAATGTTGACAATATTCAGTCGTAACATGATAATTTTAGCACCGATATGGATGCTATTGAAATTGATGGAATTTCCACCCCTAGTATTGATACTAGGGGGAAGAAAAAGAGGGCCACTAAGTTGAGGAAGTTGAGGGGAAGGGAAAAAAAAGTCATTTGTAAAAAATGTAGGAAAAATCTTAGCTACTGTAGCAAAGGTGGTACTGGCCACTTGGGTAGACATTTGCTCTCCCATGAGAAAGAAGAAAAAGAAAAAAAGGAAACAAACAACACAAACACAAATTGGGCATGGGGTTTTTCATACTTTTAAATATTTTATGAGAAAATGATGCAAGAGTTAGCAAAATATAATGTACATGTTGAACAACCATTTTTGTTAGCTAAAAATACTAAACTTGAAAGATTTTTATATAATTATGCAAATCCATAATTTAAAAAAGTTTCTAGGAATACTATTAGATTAGATGCTTTAAAAATTTCTTATTCATATAAACAAAATTTAATTTATATTTTATCAAATCTTAATTCTAAAGTTGCAATTACTTCTGATATTTGGACTAGACATCTTCATGGGCCAGGCCGGGCTTTTGCTCTTCATTAAGAGAAATTTTTCAGGCATGATCCCGAGCCCAGCCCGGCCAATGGGCCTACAACTTGGGCCTGAGCCCGACCCTCATAAAAATCCCAAAGCCCGGGCTCGAGCCCAATGCCCAACCTGGGAGTTTGAGCGTCGGTGCTTGAGTTCGCTAGTTCCTGGGAGATTGAGAGTGAGAATGAAAACTGAGAAAGTGAGAAATAGAAGATGAAAACGGTGTCGGCCGGAGAGAGGGAGAGAGCGCTCTCCGTCGGAGAGAGAGAGAGAGAGAGACGACCTAGTTCTGGTGGCACTAACTGCTTGTGCTTGAGTTCGTAGAGTGAAAACGGTGCTCCTGGGTTTGCCGGTTCTGAGAGTTTAAGAGTGAGAAACTGAGAATGACAAGAAAAGTGAGAAGATAGAAGATGAAAACAGTGCCAGTCGGAGAAAGATGACCTAGTTCTGGTGGCACCGGCTGTCGGTGCCTAAGTTTGAAGAGTGCAAATAGTGCAACTGGGTTCGCCGGTTCTGAGAGTCTGAGAGTGAGAAATTGAGAATGAGAAAGAAGATAGATGTAATTTAGGGTTTAAAGTTTAAACTATATAAAAGTCAGGTAGGGCCGAGCTTTTTAGACAAATCCTAAGCCCAACCTAAAAAAATATCGAGCCGGGCTTTTAGGCCCGAGGTCAAACCTGTGGGCTAAAACTCATGCTCAAGCCCGTCCGGGCTGAGCCGACCCATGAACAGGTCTAATTTGGACCTCTAAATTTAATATATGTTATATTTGTGTCAATGATCATTTTATTGATGAAAGCCAAATTTTACAAAAAAGAATTTTAAGTTTTAGTAGGCTTGAATGGTCACATACTGGGAGAAATTTAAAAAATATTGGGAGAATATTCTCCTCTTTATTGCTTAGCTACAATATTATATCCTACGATTAGGAAAGATGATTTAGATACTTTACTTGAAACATATTGTGAAAATATGAATATTGAAATTGGAAATAAAAAGAAGAAATTAGTAGTTTATTATTTGAAATGTATTGTTTATATGAATCTAAATAGCATGGTATAAGAAATCTACAACTTGTACAAATGCATCTTCCATTTTCGAAACAAGTTCCAATAGTGGAAAAGAAAAAATTTGGTCTCTAACAAGTAGGAGGCAAAAATCTACTGCCTCTTCATCAGCAAATTCATTTATTAAACTTAATTTTTATTTACAAACAAATTTTTTCTAGTTTAGGTGATTCCTTCGTCTTGTAGGAACAGTTCCATCGGAGTTTTGTTTAGTACAGCTAATAGGAAGTTCGGAGATGTGCATCTGCTTTCTCAAATGTGATGTTTCCTGATTTAGGTTTTTTATTTTCGCATTTGGACAGATGGATCAATTTACAAATTACAACTCAAATGTGGTAAATCCGAAAGTTAGTGTGCATGGAGGAAGCTCAACTAGCTAGAGTCTAGAGGAACTCTGTGTGGTCGTACTCCCATAATAAGAATGGCTCATCCATTTGTAATCCGAAGTTATTGGCTGCAGGCGACATCAAAGACGAAGAGAAATCAAACATGTTTGGAGTAGTGGTCTGGTCGATTACTAGATCAGGCAGATCGAACAGTGCGTCTTCGTCTGTGGATCGAACACCAGCGTCATCGTCCGACGTGAAGTTGAGACTTGGGGAGTCAGAAATTGGAAATTTTGATCCGCTCCGCTCGCCTTGGTCTTCGGTTTCAACTTCGCAACTTGCTGGTTGCTTGTCGAATGTGGCCGCGGCTGCTTTGGCAGCAGCGGCCTGGATGTCTTTGTGTGATAAGCTGGCCGGACGGGGAAGCTCATGAGCCAGCTCAGGGAAATTGAGGAAAGCTGCATTGCCTTTGATAGCGAGTGCAGCAACATCATGGGCTCGGGCGGCCATCTCTGGAGTGGGGAATGTCCCAAGCCAGATTCTTGATTTCTTTCTTGGCTCACGAATTTCCGACACCCATTTGCCCCAATTACGTATCCTCACTCCACGATAACTAGGGTGCTTCCCGTCGTTACTGCTGGTCTTCTGCTGCCTCCTAGTTTCATTCGCATTTTTCACTTCTTTTAAGCCCTGTCGACTGTTGATCTCAGTTGAAATCTTCGGATTTGTGTCCATTGTCGTAGAAGAAGAAGAAGAAGTAGTAATAGAGGTGTAGGAGGTAAAAGAGGGGGAGGAGCTTTGAGCAGCTTCACAGTCTTCGGTGACTGCTTCTTCCATAAGAGAGGAGGGCTTCAGACTTTGGAAGTAGTAGGAGAGAATGTGAGAAGAGAAGTGGCGTAGTTCGGCTTTTATTATTCATCATCCACAGACTAGAGAGAGAGAGTCAGCTCCTTTTCACCAGTGTTATTTTTAATTTTTGTTTTCTTATTTCTGAATGATATACACAATTTTAATCATGAATTATTTTTAGTTTTATTTTTTTTTGTTCATTAATTCTCAGATAGTTGATGACTGGATGAGAATTCCCATGAAGTGTACTTTAGTTTGATTTCGGATTTTTTGGGAGAATGACCATTCAGTCCAAGTTCAGAATTCATAGGCCCAAAGTATAATTGAAGTAGATTTATAAGATCATTCAGAAATATACATTAAGCCTGTCCGTACTTTTCTGATTTTTTTTTTCTACAATCAACATGAATCGAGAGTTTGGTGGGCCAAAGTATGCCCCCTAACGTCCCAAAACTAAGGCCCATTTTAGACCAGGAAAACGTAATTTCAAATGAAAAGCTGGCGTGGGTCCCTTCAATAGTTCAGTGGATCCTTGTACATTTGCTTTTTCACCCTTGTTTTTACTTCATTCCTTATCAACCCCTGGTCGGCTAAACCTTTCACTGTTCAATCTTTGTCCAAGGGCTCCCTTTGGGAGGGGAAGCGGGGGGGGGGGGACAAGAGCGACATATATGGGTCAGTCTAGCTAGGTTATTTTATTAATTTATTTCATCGTTCCCAATGACTATGTTTTGATAAGTCACCACCTTGAAAATGAGTGATGTATTGCTAACTTATATGGGCCATTTTCACACCACAAGCTTGTAGGGCTGAAGAGTTCATCAACTGTTGAACTCTATTCATCAACAGATTTAACAGCAGCCTGATTGTCAACTTGAAGAGCTCTCTCTCTCTCCCCTGTAAATTCATGCTATATCAATACCTTGATCAGACTAAGGCCATGTTTGGATAATTAAACTTCTGAGTTTTGGGATGTGATGAATGTGACAAAAAGTATTTTAAACATTTGGCAAGTGTTATATAAATTCAAAATACTTTTAAGCCCCAATACACAAAGCCAAAAATTGGAGTATTATGTTTTGTGGCTTTAAAAACACATATCCTGGAGTTTATCCAAAGTCTAATTGAAGATTAGTTACCATTATCGCATTTGTGGAATAAATCTCTCTCAAGACTTATGAACAATGGGGATAATATATAGGTAGTCACTATGCTACTCAAGATTGACTCAAAAAAAAAAAAAACTATGCTACTCAAATTGAAATGCAACTTTTAAATTAATTTAGTTATATTACTATGGTCCTTCCAAGAAGGGTTCCACATCGTCTTAATTAGATAAGCTCATTGATAGGCAAGTGAATTGTGATGAGAAGGCATTGAGCAGTGATTTAAGTGGCGTTTGGTAACATGTTCATCTCGTGGATGGACCGTTTCAGTGAATGCCATGGGATGAACTCCTTGTTCGGTTAGTCGTGGATAGGACCAGTCTACTCTATATCGTGAATTGGCCCTATCCACACCTTAAATTATCATCAACAGCATTTTCTCGTGGAGGGGGTCGGTCCATGGTTTATTTTTGACACCCTACTTCACAACAACCTCCAAACCCTATACATCATTTTACTGTTGAAGGTTTCCATCGTCAAAGATCTTTACCGCTATGCTCCGCCGAATCTCTCCACTGCCGGTATGTCATTAGATTTGTCAGAAACAAATTTGTTAGTTTGTTAAAACATATTTGTTAGAATCTCCCCACCGTCGGTATATTATTTTCATTTGTTTACATATTATTTTTTAATATTTTTATCAATAAACTAATATTTTTGTTTTTAAATTATTTTATTACCATTTTTCTTGACATTAATATTTTTTAGTTAATATTCAATTGTCAAAGCCTTTTTTAATTTGTTTATCATATAAATTATACAAGTTAGACATTTATTCTCGAATGTGTAGATTATTTCATAAACTATATATGGGATACATGGAATAAAAAAGTGTGGTATGGACCAATCCACACAGTCTGTCCACAGTTTAGAACAATTGTGGACTATGGTGTGGTGTGAATTAGTCCCTACCATAGTGTCACGGGGTTAGTAGACGAGGCACCGTGCAGTGCTCATTTGTGTCGAGAAAGACTACAAAAAAAGCAACAAGCAACAAAGGCAACAACGGTGGCAAACAAATTAGTCAAAAGGTTCTTTGTATTGCATAAATTGGTGGCAAACACAAGCACACAGTTTAATGTTGAGGGGTTCTCGTGCTTAACCTTTACACGTTCATGATTCACTCAACTACCTACCTCTCCTCAAAGAGTACGCTAAGCTTTTGAGGGAGTGACATAAGAAAACATCAAAATGGTGAAAAATCATACTACATAATTATAATAAAGCCATGAGCATTCCCTTCATACAGAATACATGTATTGCCCCACCCAAGACACACATGATGGCACTTGTGATGGCACATTACGGGCACGACGATGGAACTTGATGGCATAGTGAAGAGTTCAATCTTCACCCTCGAAGACTATCTTCTACTTGTTGCCTGGATATGTTGTTGGTGAAGGAAGATTCTTCAACTGCTCTGTGAACTTTGCTTCTTCCAAGGCCCTAGTACAAGGTTGGGTGGATAGCTTGAAGGTGCTCTTGATGGTGGGAGGACCTATGGTTAGTTCTTAAGTTAAGTCCCTTCCTAGCTGCTTTAAGCTAGGATTTTGGGTGGTCTGCTTTGGTGATTAGAGAAGTTAAGGCCAGGGTCGGGTCAAAATGATGGCTTGGATTCTTGGGGTACTGGTGCCCATGAATGTTTTCCCAAAGGGGCTTCCTCACAGGGCTACTAAGTGTGTTGGGCCAAGGTCAAGTTTGTGTTATGGTCCCAATTTTAGGTGGTTGGCACTTTCTCTCCCATGTCAATTTGGTTGTGCATGGGTTGGTTGTCGGAGACGGCCTTGGATCTTCTTGACATCTTCTTCACCGTGTAGTTGCTGCATTGACGTTGGCGTTGGAATGTCTTTGGTGGAGACTGCTTCTTGATGATGACTTCCCGGTCTGTCCTTGTGCTGGTGTGAGATGTTGGAGCGAGGGTCTTCTCTGCTACTAGCGTGGCATCGACATTGACAATGTCTTTTCCCTCACACAACTATAGTGTTGAAACTTTCTTCCCAAGTACCTTTACAACAGTTGTCACTAGGATCATGCAAGGTGAGTGCTATCCAGGATGGGGAGGTTGTCAATGTGTGGAATCAAGGCTGCTTCCACTAGTGTTAGGAACTTTATCCCGAGGACAACTTGAAAATCATCCAAGGGTACCACAAATAAGTTGGTTCTCCCCTTCTAAGGTCCTACTTGGAGAACTTCCACGAGGTACGCCTTCCACTGCTTTTGCACTGGAGTTGATTGCTTTGGTCCACCCTGCTTGATTGGATGTAGCTGATAAGCCTATATTTGTACATATTTTCATACCTCTAACTTGATGATTTTGGATAATAATGTTTTTGGAATTAGCATGGTATTGCACTAATTATGATGAAATTGTCTTGCAAGATGATTTGAAGGTTAATTGTGCAATTTTCAGGAGGAGTTCGATTTAATTGATCAAGATAATCATAGAGGAAGGACCATGCAACAATGATGCTCCAGGATGTAGCCATGAAGGAGAGAATCCATTGAAATCGGATTTGATATGTATGCACAAAAATCGGGAAATTTCTTGTTTTGATATAGTTCCCGTATTTTGGGAATAACTTTCCTCCTACAACTGGGATTGAGGTGATTCAAACGGATAATTAAAGCTAAGAGAGAGATAGGGCTACAACTCTTGTGTTTATCACTCAACCTAATTCTGCCGCCAACCAAGTGCAATTCGAGCTACAAGTTTCGGGTCTGGCAGTTGGCAGTGCAGAAGAGATAGGAATTCAACTGAGATAAAGACTAAGAGACCTAATTTGTGTTGAATTAAGAGTCTGCATTGAGAAGAAATTGAGGGGAGGCTGCACTATAAAAAGGACCATAGACTCAAGGAAAAGGGGCACATTCTTAGAGAGAATTCAGTAGAGAAGAGAAGATGAAGCAGTCTTAGCACATCAAAAGAGAAGAGGAAGCAATTTCAGCACACCAGAGAATGAGAGGAAGAATCCGAATTCAAGAGGGAGAAAGACTTAGTTGCTGCACTTGTCTTCTACCTTCAAAGACTAAAGTTTTCTTGTTATTCTATTCATTCTTTGATGTGTTCTTGCTGTGTTTCCCCTTTAATTTAATGATGTCTAGCTAAATTCTCTTAACTAGGGTTTAGATGGATTTTGATCTTAAGATTATATAGTTATTTGTTTAATTCAATTCAAGACGTTTATTATTTGTATGAGGAATTTTTATTGCTATGTTTAATGCTTTAAAAGAATTGGCCAATCTTTTAATGATTTGATGATTCATGCATGACTGACCAAAGGATTGTTATGAACCCTAGGCAATAAAAATCGCATGATAGACTATGATATCGAAAGATGATTAGCTCATGTGTGGGAGTCAAGGAAGCTTAGCGAGTTAAATCCCCTTCTATGATTAGAGATTTCCAAAGAAATTAATGCTTATTTTTCCTTTTGGCAACCACTTAGAAATTTGATGGTAGAATTGGATTAATAAAGGACTAATATGACTTGAGAAAGCTTATTAATTAATTTAGGGAAATCCACCATCACATGCAAGTAACTTTAATATACCTTAGGGTAATTTCGGTCTTGAGTTGGATTAAATATATAATTATATAACCTTGATTTAATGAAATCTAAACCCTAGCTGCATTCATCCATCAATCTAGTTTTTATTAAGTACTTGGATTTGCATTAATTCTTTTAGTTTTTATTCATTCAATTGATTCACGAGTTCAAC